AGGAAAGGAATTATTTTATTTCTTACATGTGAAAGACAACTGATTTCCATCAGATTTTCATAAAAGATTAATTATTTACAATATTCTATTTACAACTGGTATATTTACCAAGCCAATATATGAAAAACAATATAAAACTTTATAGGTACAAGAATTACAGGTGCCGCCATTTATGTCGCATTCAAAATCCGATAATTACGATGCAATTAAGTGTAATGAACGTATAAGCACTACACAGCTCTAACTCTTAGTATCACATGGGTGAGCAGTTTATTTCTAACGTAATTTGCAACTATGTGTCAAGCAGCAGTCTTTTGTTATTGTAAACGAGATCCATTACTGCAGATGTTTATGAAGATTATATTAGGTTTAGGTTTATTATATTAGGTTGTATTTATAGAAAATTAATTATAATATATCTATTTCATTTCTTTTTTTCAAACAAGCAAGCGATAGCGGTGTCATGGCGCAAAACTATGGACTTAAATTGTTTATAACTATTAAAGTATATAACTATAACTATTTGATTCCTAATAGCTACCTACTATCATTTTATGCAAAAATAATAAGCTTAATTGAAGGTTTTGTATCAATTAAACGTCGACAAACAAGTAATTACAGGCGGTTGGGGTCAAGAGAGATTGATGGGTTTAAAAGAATTCATGCAATATACAGATTAGAGCTACAAGTGTTAAAAAATTGCCGGCAATAACGTCCGTAATCATGCTATTAATTTCCAAAGTTGATTTCTCTGAGCATTTCAAATTAATAGTTTTAGAAGAATAAATTACAGTCTATATTGAGCTATGTACATTGTACGTGCGTCTCATCTCGTGTTTTTGTTTATTCTAGTCTAGAATAATATTTCCTGGTTCACGAAGTCATAAAAAATGTATGATTATGCGTTGATTTAAATAGATCTCAAGAGCTCAAAGCGTGTGAAAGAAGGCTTCATAAAGGAAGTAGTGACGGCAGATAGTAATGAAAGAAAAATATACGCTTTATAACCAATGCAGAAATTGAGGCAGGTGTATGTAGCCGTACACTGTATAGGGTATCTTTATATGAGCTACGATTTTCCTATGAAAGTACTTAAATAAAATCTTACCTAGCCTTTGTTGCTCATAATATATTTTTTCATACATGTATCTATAATAAAGTCAGCTTCGATGTTTCCTTATGAAAATATTTAAAAAGTCAACAAATTGTAGAAGAAAAGTTACAATTATTTCAATTTTTATATTAAACTAGCGCCTCACCCTCGCTCCACTAGGGTTCGCCCCTAGTTACGTTTTAAGTTAAAACTTTCAACGCAATAAAAAAGTATCCTTTAGTAAGTAAGTATACAAGCTACCATCATATCAAATTTCATCAAAATCTGTGCAGTGGTTTTTTCGTGATGCGGTCACAGACAGACAGACAAAAATTCTAAAAACTATAGGGTCGGCTTCTGTATCGATAAAAATGACTATTTCAATAAGATTATTCAAAAAATATTTAATGTACAGATTCGACTTAGTTAGAATTTTATTATATGTATAGATATAATATATTTTATTTATTATTATTATCTTACTCCTATAATTTCAACTCTGTGATAATCTTTGCTAATAGAAAGATTTAATAATTTCGTATTTAAAGGTAAAATAACAAAATTCCATTTGTCACCTCTTGGATTTCTTGTTGCTTTTCCGTGTGTAGAATTAATTAACTTACTTTGTCAGTTTTTTTTCTATATAATACACATTATCAGTTAAATCTTTTGGTTCACAACTGATAAATTTAAATGACTAGAACGAATGATTAATGAAATATACTAGAATGGCACGGACATGACTGACGAGTTTAAAGACAACTTAATTATCAGATAGCGGTTATAAAAAGAAAATATATGCATGGTAATTGACATTTATGTGACAATCAAGTAATGTGGTCCTTCTTTATGAAATTGGCAGAAAAAATATGTATGTATTTAAATCAATACGTTTTCTTCAATACGTTTACTATTTTTTGGGGTTCTCTTTTTTAGCGTTTTTATTTAAAGTACATGCGTGAGGATATCTGTTCTGAATAAAAAAAAAATTGCTACTTACATATAGTAAGACGACCTATGTATGACAGGTACTCGCTATAAGGGATATATGTATGTACAGTTGTTAAACTGTTGTAACTGTAAATGTTAATTTACCTATAAATTTTGTATACTATTTAAATACATAATCAATAAATGTTATAGAATTCTTTCAGAAGATAAGATTAGATTCTTTCAGATCAGTCTGATAAAAATATTATGACAATGAATTCAGCCCTATTTTTAACGTCCCATTGCTGGTCACGGGCCTCCGTTCAATACGAGGGGGTTCAGGCCATAGACTACTATGCTGACCAAGTGCGGGTTCTCGGACTTTCACATGTCTTTCGAAAATTCGTTAGGTTCTCTCAAATATGCAGGTTTCCTCACACTGTTTTCCTTCACCGTATGGCAAGTGGTAATCATGTTAAATATATCATTATAAATCATATATATATATATATATATATATATATATATATATATATATGATTTAACTGCCTCCGTGGTGTAGTGGCTAGCATGTACGGCTGCACACCCGGAGGTCCTGGGTTCGAGTCCCGGGTCGGGCCAAGTTTAGTTATTGAGACTTTCTGTATAAGTAAGCCTCAGTAACAGCCCGGAGTGGGGAAGTTGGCGGTGTTTCACCCCCGTGCCTCGGAGAGCACGTAAAGCCGTCGGTCCTGCGCCTTAAATCTCACTGGTCGTGTCGAGCAGTCGTCCCACCGGAATATGAGAGTGACAGGAATAGAGAGTGCACTTGTGTCTGTGCGTACACTTGTGCACTATAATATCTCCTGCGCAGTTGGCTAGTCTCAATGAGATTGGCCGCCGTGGCCGGAATCGGTCGGGAGAACATCAATCAACATCATATATATATATATATATATATATATATATATATATATATATATATTATTAATATATATATTAATAAAAGATTCGCAATTAAAAATATCAAAATTTTGAAACGCGGATTTGAACCCCCTTCACTCGGTTTTTAAAGCGAGCTCCTTACCACTGGACAATGACAATGGTAATAGCTTCATTTGAAGACATTTAAAAATTTATATTTAAAGTTTGCAGGTAGGTAATAGATACAATATTATTTTAAGGTATTATTGTCAAGTTTTATCACATACTTTTCAATATCTGAGACAATAGCTTACCTCGTAATCAGGAGGTAATTTATACAGTAGTGTTTCAATAGATTATTTACACTGAAATATGATACAAATTCGTATCGGCTAGTTATTAATATGGACTTTGCGACATACAGTATTCTCCCTATCATAAATATTTAAGTCACTACAGACTAGTTATCCAGGTTTCCATTGTTTATTTGTTACAAAATAAGAGTTTTGCACTGGACTTACTGCAGTTTTATTGTAGCATTTGGATATTATATGTAATGCGATAAAATATATTAAAAGGTAGTGGTACCTTAGTGACAAAGTACTCGTTTGGAAAACCAAGTACAGTGGGTTTAAACCTCGGGTCTCGCATCTGATAGTTTTATGTGTTATTTTCAACATAATTACCACTTGCTTTACAGTGAAGGAAAATATCGTGATTAAACCGTAATGTCTGAGAGAATTTAACTAGTTTTTGCATTTGGTCAGCGTGGTAGACTATGGCCCAACCTCCACGCATTGAGGAGACGCTCATGCCCAGAGGTGGTACATTAAAAGGGGATGAATTATTTTTATTATATGAATTAAGATCAAAAGAACCTCAACCTTGACATATGAAAACATACTGAACTAACAATCTAACTTAGCTTTCCTCGTTTTGCACTGGTAATTAAGGAATCTGCGTCGCGGTTTTACTTAATGGCCTCAATTATGCTTTCGTGTTTACCCTATCACGCACTAATTATAATACTTTGCAAGATATAATTCTTCTAAACTAAAATAATATCATTTACATGCTAGTTTTTTTTTGGACATAACAGCGTAAAACGGACAAACTGAGAGATGTGTTTTTTAAAAAGTGTAATATTAAAGAGTAAGAGATGTTCACAAAATGATTCAATCTTAAGGTTTTATTATATTTTATTTATTTTATAGCGTAACCTTAAGCTTTAAAATATTTAAAAGTTGAAAGGACTGATAGAAACCTAGACGGTAAATAAAAATCTTCTTTTTTTTTGGTAAATCGACGCCAGTGCAAGCTGCGGTTACTGTCAACTTGTAGCTAGAAGAAACAAGAATTTTGGTTTATTTGTGGAAGATGCGCTTGGCAAGCAGACTTATAAATTATAAAGCTTTATTGACATTGCTGTGGCCATATAGATTAAAATAAACAATTTATATTTGCAAAACAGCAAACATACAGAGAGGTTGATGAAGTATACGCAGCTAATAGCTTAAGAGTTATCTTGAGAAAATACGTTTATGATGTAATCAATCGACACGGTCGGTAGAGTTAGATACATAATGGAATACTGAGAAAGTCAGAGATAATATAGTGCAAGAGCGCTTCCTGTTATAATTACCATCGCATAATTGTACATAATAGCGTTTAAAAGTAATATAAAACATATAATACATACTTTACAAATAAGACAATCGTTAATTTATTTTAAATTAAATTGTTAGAAACGTGTGCATTCAAAAAAAAATATTTTTATGTTAGGAATAACTACAATTAGGATAATACAAATAAGTAGACTTTAATAATTTAGTTAATATTACATTAGTAAAGAAACGTAATAATGGAAATTTAGATAATGGAACAGTTTTAAAAAGCAGCAATAATATAAAAAATATAGTGAAATTTTTGTTAGGTAGGTACATATTAAAAAAATTTTGTGTGGTTCACGATTGAATATATTATAAATTTTTATATTACGAGTAAGCATACAGCCTTTTTAAAAATAAATTTTATGATTTTTCTAAGTATAAGATCATAATTGTCGCAGGCGCATATGAGTATTGGCGCGATCAGCGTCTGCGCTTGGACTTGCGATCGCCGCGACGACCATCTCTCCCTTTCTCTCAGGTTATCGCTCTCTCTCTCCGTCCTTCGGCGGCTCGTTCCTCTTCTTCTTGCAAGGTTAAGGTTACGTCAGACGTGTTATGTTATAACCGTTGGGACGCAGTGCGGCAAGTTCAGTGTCTCGACGAGAGTGGCCGCGACACTAGGCTCGCGAAAAGCGCGTGCATCACGAGGACTGTGCCGCCTGTGATATACGACCAGTGAAAAGTTCATGAACTGGGTGTTAAATTTGTTAGAACTATCACGTGAAGCTGATTCTTGAAAATTTTCTTTCCTTAATCAGCCTATATATAAAAGGTATGTTATCATTGTTTGTCGGATTATTATAAGTATTATAAAATTTGTTTAAATCATAGCTGCAAAAGATTGTTTGCTTTAGTTAATATACTCGTTTAATAACTGGTCTATAAATATTTCATCGTAGTTGCGGTGGCTGGGCAAGGACCTCACTTTTCTTGAAGTACGGTATACTTAAAAAATATATTGCTTTACATATTTATAAGAGTGATCGTAAGGAAAACTTCCGGCTTACTAGTTTTAGCGATAATAATTTTATTAAGAAAAAATTAAATTCGGAAAATTCTAATAATTAGACACTAAAATTCTTCTTACATGACAATCTCATAATAAATAACATTAAAAGTTAGTAGGTAGTCTGATGCATTTTTAACATACGTAATTGCTTTATTTATTTAAAAGTTTACTATCTATATTTTCTTTTATTTTAATTGCACCACTGTTGGGTATTTAAATAAGCTATAAATCCTAAGTCACTTACAAAAAAAACTAATTCTATTAGAGTATGATATAAAGATATTAGAAATAATAACGATATATGTCCCGTTAGGGTGGGTATTGCAGTGTTTTTGCGTCTGTCTTCAATCGTGTGTGAGATTGACAGGCTCCAGTGCACAACATACATCGCTATATTTAGCTTCGCATCGTTTCTTTCCATTCCGGGAAGTTTTTTTTGTTATTCTTCAGTTTCTTCACCCTAAGGGCACGATTTATTACATTAGGTAAGCATTTGTATAGTTCGAGAATTAAAAGTTAAGGTAAAATCAGAATTCATAATCCTCGCAGCATAAACATAATTTATGTTGAATTATAAGCGAGGAGAATGTCAAACGATAAATAAGTTTTTCGCAACTATAAAACTCTTATTTGAATTCTCCACAGGAGAGCAGATATAAATTAAATCAATAAATATTATTCATTTACTGAATGTAGAGTGCAACAAAAATAGAAATAAAGGTAAACGAAGTAAAATAATTGTTTATAAAAAACGGAATACACAATTTAAAAATAGAAAGAGAGGTTTTTTCACGAATGAATTAATAAAATGTCCATTTATAATTCTATTATTATTGCGATTGTTTTATTATTGAATATTGTGAGAAACATCGTAAAGCGTGAAGTGGCATTCGTTTCAAATAAAAGACTTCAACGCGTTGCACTGTGCGAACATTAAAACGTAGCTCGGCACTATTAACATCAAAGGCAAAGTTATCATAGATTCTCGAGACAATTATTATCAAAGGGTGTAATAAAATTTCTTTACATAATCATATAAAGAAATTTTATATGAAGATAAAACTATAATTAAATATAAGAATATTAGAATTAAATATATTTTTATATATGTTACAAAATAATTATAAGTAAAACTATCTAAGTATTTGAAAGATTTAAGCATGTTCCAAAGTGAATATTTTGAGCAGGAAATATTATTAGAATGATTATATATATAGTAATCATTCTAATAATATGGTTCGGGTTTGTTACAACGCAATTCAAGAACTGCTAGACCGAATTTCATGATTTTTGTTTTGATGGATTTGTCTTCATCCCGAATAGCAGAATAACTATTTAAACATCGGAAATGTTTCCAAAAAAATCCAAAATAAAATCTATTCCATACTAAGCGTCTAAAGGTTCCTAGGGATGGCGAGGATGAGTCGCTAGTTATATAATATTATTTAGAAGAATATTCCATTATTGCTACCACACAATGGTAATTTATTAAGAGGAACAAATAAATTCTTACCACAGTATGAAAATAGATATAACATATATTTTGTAAATTTTTCTTTCAATTTGAAATTATATATAAAAATGGAGTAACTATGAATTAAATTGTAATTAAAGATTAACATATCGAGTCGATAAAAACGATTAAACAAATTATAAGCTATGTAGATTATTACAGAAAAAATGTTACTTCAGGTGCAACTGTATCCGAATGCTTTAACACAATCGATAGTAGTAAACGATTGGTCATACTAGGTACAAACGACCTGGAATGCACGACCAGGGCCGGAGGTCAGCATTAGTACAAGCCTTTAGATAGGGCGCTCTGGCCGTAGTAAATTGAGACACAGACAAGGAATGTGGTGGAAATAAATCCGTTTATAGCTGTTATTAGTTTTAGCTTTCAAGGGTTCTTTACGGTACTAGGACATCATACTAACATTATAAAAAAAATATTTCCAAGAATATATTTTTTAATAAATAAATTATTTTTACTCGTTGATTAATTTATCATCATTTATTGCCATTAGATTCTTCGAAGTATAAATAAAATATTTCGTGAGTGCACGCTCGGAAATGACACGCGACGCATAAGTATTGGGTACAAGGAAACATTAATATAATCCAATATTATATTTTATAACACCTGAAATTAATGTGAGGGGTACAAAAGAAAAAATAAATAAAATAAAATAGTTATAAAAATATATAGCAAAAGCGTAACGCAAGCAGCTTTTAATAATACATCCACGTTTTATGAAAAGGCTTTCTCCTGTAAATACCATTAAAATAGATTTTTTATTATTTAGTTAGGTTCATTAAGAATAGTAGTCAACTAGTCATTACTCTTATTTATATAGTAACGTCTAAAGGGCAGTTCTGAGCGGCCGTGCGCGTGGTCCGGGTCAGGACGGATTCCATCAGGCCCGCTTTCCATGAAGGATTTTAATTACGCGCGGACGAGGTGAATGACCAACTTGTCGCAATTGGATGTGTCTGAAAAGCTTTTGATAGTCACCTTTTTTAGAACCGAGAACCAATTTATAGATTGATTATGCTCTAAATTGGTAAAAAAATCTCTAGCTTTCTACGCGCAGTGAAGATTTTGAGGCTTCTCATATGTGTGAAAAAAAACGATGAATAGTCCTTGTTGATTCTTGTTGTCTTCCACACAACTAATATATAATATTACAAACATATTATGATATAATGATTACGTATATGTAGAGTATTATGTAGATGGACTTTAATACCTAATAAAATTCCTTAATTTTTCAGGAGTTTATTTCGATTAATTAGATTATAATTTAATTTATACAAATGATATACCGACAATAATAGAAATAATAAAAATTAATTAGTTCTTATTATAAAATTAAAAGTATCTAAAATAAATATGTATAAAACCGTAGGACCAGACAGTGCATAAGTGGTTGAGTGTTTGTTCTTCAGATGACGCACTTAACCAGTCTCGGGAATTTAAACTTGTAGCATTCTGTTCGGCAGGTGCACACCTCACGTACAATTCTTACCTACGTATGGCTTGTATTATAGACTTAAGACTTATAAATACATAGTGACGATGGCTATTTTATTGGTCTATTGTCCTTTTAGTATAATTCTAAATAAAAATAAGTTTTAACTTAAGAAAGTATATATTTATATGCCATTAAAATATGTCAGTATTATTGGCCCTATTGAAAAGTAGATAATGTAAACTGCACAATTAAGTTGTAAATTAAATTTCAATAATATATGTTTTAGGAATATATTATATGGATTTCTTACTTAAAAATAACAAATTACCGTAAATTTTTGTCCTAGATTTCTTTCCGAAATTAACATCCTTTCAATCGATACGTGCTCCCAAATAAAGATCGGCGCACAATAAACACTTGTTGTGTGGGTGTGGGCATGTGGCTGAGTCATCTTTGACACACATAATAATATGTCCGACTCCAAAAGAACAGTAGGTATATTAAAATTGCGTATATTAGCACCAATGCCAGCCGCTCGAGCGTTAGATATTACATTTGTATAATATTAAATAAATAAACGAAAGTTTTTAAAGAGCCTCTTTAGAAAAGATGTCAAATCTAGAAAGTAGAAAACAATTGAAATAAATACCGTATAACAGAGGACGTAGATAAATTGAATAGACACCTGTAACCGTCACAAATTACAATTAAAATACCTGGTAGTGCGCACCAAATAGTGCAAAATCACGTACAATTGCTTGGTATCGGTTACAAAAGGCGTGCGATAAAATCCATGAAATTAGTGGCATATTGTTATCTTTGCCCTAGATAACGCGGCGGCTGAACCAAATTATATTTGCGAAGGCTCGTATTAAGTCGTAAATCGGAAAACCGTGTGAGCTTAAATGGGGAACGAGGGTTAAGAACATTTTATGGTGTATGATAGGTTACAAGTGGAGCGGGCGCAATGTGCTCAAATTGATTACAGGCGATACACGCGAATCGTCTAATAAAATCAGTAATAGAACGGTACCGGTGGCGTGCGTCGCATAACGGCCCGGTTGTGTGCTCGCTCCCACGGCTGACGCATTATGCAACCTGTGTACTGTGCAAGCGTCAACGAGCACAATGCGAGATATTGATCGCACTAATCGCGGTCGCGATCGCATTCCCGGCGAAAAACTAAGTGCACCGTAAGTGAAAACAGATGATCTCTAACGATCTACTGATATAAGGCATTGTCACATTAACAGAAGAATAGTATCGTATCATCATTATCACAAAAACATCGTCCTACAACAACTTAGATATGACGCTCACCTACTAATTGCGATTTGACTCAGCCAACTATGACTGTGTTTACTTTTAGATATATTAAATTAAAATTTTATTTGATTGATTTAGATAATTCATTAATTTATGGTTTAATTACTCAATAGTTTTTTATTTAAAGATAGATATTTTAACAGTTTGCAAGTAATAAAGAAAATTGAATAGGCAATTAATTGTTCACCTACAGCAACGCTAACTGCTCTTGACGTCAACGTAATTAAACATACTGCCGTCCATCTGCATTTAAGATACCTCAGAAAACATTATAAAATTAGCATTAAATTAAATAAACGTACATTTGTTTACGTAGAGTTGTTAAAACTGTATTGTAGAGAAAATAAAAACT